TATCACTCCGATGACTTATATTTTAGTGAGAAAGTCACATTTTGTTTACTCGTTAATATTTCTAATTCATCCTTTTTCTCTTTTTTGAAATGGTGAAATATTGAATTGTAATTTTGTTTTCTAGACCAGAATAAAAAAATAAAGTCGAGATTAATGTTGAAAAACCATGTCTTAAAATCGTCGTCGAATGAATAAAAAACATAACATCATTTAAATACCCTCACACGTACATACACACACGCATGCACACACCCCATACACACAGGTACGCGATGATTTTCTCACCGCAAACTTCAAAAATGAAGCCTAGGTCGGCGTTGGTTTGCGTCTGCTTCATCTGGCTGATACCTCTACTGATTTTCGTACCCTGGGTTGATGTGTACATTGAGAAAATCCACACGATAAGTTAGTTAGCTGGTTGGTTGTTTGTCTGATTGACTAGTAATTCATATAGTTGATATTCTTCCTAATCTCAGATTGACAAAATTCAAACTATAAGTTAGTGATTTGGTTGGTCGCTTGTGTGGTTAGTTGTTTAATTGGTTGGTTGATTGATTTATTGATTGATTGATATGTTCTGTTAGTTATTGTACATTTTCGAAATAATTCATTGTTGCAGATATTAGTCGATTTGGTGGTGTATCAATACTTTGTACAACTTTGGCAGCCCAATTCATCAGCCTTTGAAGACGTGTTTCCTGCTTCTGAGATATGCCAAACATCAATAAAATGAAATAATAAAGTTTGGACAATATCAAACAACGCGCCAGATTCCCAGCCAGATCGACTGATAAAAACTGTCTGATATGGTGTATTTGCTTGATATAATAATTGCACGCTTCAATAATAGATGTAGTATGATTTGAAAAAGTTAGTTTCTTGTCAAGAACAACACCGATTGTCTTTAAAGTGTCACATACAGGGATATCACTATTACCAATCCTGATTGATGTCAGATCTAGTAACTAGTTGGTTGTGTGGAATAAGTCTAATGTGATGACCTCTGTTTTATTTGAGTTGAATTGAAAATTATTGAGAAGAAACCACCTCTCCATGGCAGCAATGCACGTAGAGATGGCATTCACGTTTGATGAATTATCGTTATTCAATTAGATGAAAAGTTGTGTATCATCAGTATATTGATGGTAGGATACGTTGAATCTGTTGATAATCTCGTAAAACATATAATAAGCAATTTATTAATTATGCCATTTGCGTGATTTTGTGAATAAGAATATTGTTGAGTGAGACAAGATGNGAAGAAGGAGAAGACCA